ATTTAAAAATCAGAGAAAATACTTCATTCTGGAATAATGCGAATGTACGTTTATCGATTTATATAATATATAAATACAACCTCCATAATTGTCTTTTTATCTTTCAAACTGTTCAGCGATTTTGTACATACATGTTATTGTTTCTCTCCATGAATCATCTATCTTACTCGCTAGGTATATAGTTTTGATCACAGATTATTTTATGGGCGTTGCGACGAATTTGTTGGAAAGTTATCCGATATTTTCATATACGTTAAAATGTCACGGCTTATTGATACAAAAGTAGTATAAATAAAATCATTAACCAAAAATATGTCTATGTTAATTGTAACAACTATTAATATTAAATATTAATATTCGCACTGCACCAGGTATATATCACATCTTATAGCTTAAACCGAACGCAAATCATCATCATCATTGTATGTTTTACTTCCGGAGTAATTCGCAAGTACAACTCCAATATATAGATCTAAGTAAAATAACAGCGATATGTAAAATAATTATATAAAACGTTAATAAATGTTAAGAAACGTTAATACATAATGCATGTTCTTTAAGTATTCAATAGAAGCCAATATCTATAAAAAAATCAAGGTACAGTATATCTCAGAAGTTGCGCAATTTCTTTCAACTATTAAAATTAAATTAGCAATTTAAATTATAGTCTCACATTAATGTCATAAGTACTTAATTATGTCCCATTTAATTTCTTTAATTTTAAAGAACATTTAAGCATCCTTTAATTAATGGTTATTAATTAAAGTACTTTTTTAATTAATAGGCAAAACAAAAATCGAATTAAGCTAAAGAATGCTAATTTTTAGCTTTTAATTAAACATTTGTTACAACTTTTATACACAAAATTCATTAAAAAGTTTATAACGAAGGAAAAATGCGCGTTTGGGACACTCAATATGTGTGACATAATTCTCATAAAAAAAGGATTGACTTTGGAAGACGTCCATTCCTGTGTTCGACGTCGGAATATAAATGGCCAAGAAACAACATGTAATTGCATGTTCAATGTAGTTTCGATAAACACTTAGACAGTTGTTACATCTGTTACCTCGATTCTAGAAATCGGTTTCGCAGGTTCTACGTATATAAATCCCTCTTCGTCGTTCACAGACTCACCGATTCGGAGCTGCTGTAAATTCGCCACAATCGAATCTACCTGAACTGGCTGATCTGGCGGAGCTGCTTCATTCCGGAGTTTGCTGAAGTGAAGATAACAGATGCCACGATAGCCCTGCCAAATTATTTCGCTCGGCTTAACGCCGCGCATCAACAGAGCGTTCTTTAGATCGCGGACTCTCACACCGGATGAGATATTAGAGAGCTTCAACGAGAAGTCAAAATGCGTTTTCATTCGGGCGCGAAGATTTTTACGCCGCCGGGACGCGTTCTTGGTATTGTTTTCTGTCTTCGTCTATAATACATAAACAAGATTTATTTATAAAGAAAAAAATATAATACTAAAAATATAAACAGATAATAAATATTTTTTAATATTTTTTAAAATATTTTTTTCTATTAAATGCATGTAAACTTTTATTTAATAGAGAAGAAAAAATTTAATTCACATTCACAAAATCTTTTATTAGCTCTATATTACTCGCATAGTTTTTTTTTAATGTCATTACTTGCATGGATTAATTTTTGACACCCCCAACATTACATATCAATTTCATTGTTCTCTTTGGTGATTTACAATTAAACAAGGATTGATAATATTGTATACATCTTTTAGATAAAGACAAATTCAAAAAATTTTGTTAATTGTAATTTGCATTAAATATAATAACGGATATGAATAGCATTCATACATTTATCAAATTTATAAAGTGGAGGATGGTCTAGATATTTCGCGCAAATAATGAAGGGTAATAAAAGTACGATAGTATATTATAGAAGGCTTACTTGTACTTCAGCATTGGAAAGATCATTTTCTTCTTCAGCTTTTGGTTTCTTATATGTTCGTCTTCGTAGGAAACGCGGCTTCTCACCTTTATCCTTGCTGCCTTCCATCGTGTTTTCGGTATTAGGCGCATCTCTTTTCATGTTGAAACGCTTCTTATTTTTCGGATATTTAACGCGATTCTTAATATACTGGCGCGTTTCCACGTCGGAATCGATTTCCTTCAGGACTACGATTTTCCCATTTCTACGAAAGAATAATCGTGTATTTACACGAAATAGCCTACTTAACGTGATTCAGGCAACTTAATGCATACTTTTCATCCATCTCTTTGAGCTGCTGTAATACCTGCATGGTTTTGAGTTTTCTTTCGCTAAGCATATGCCACAGAATGCCAGACGGTTTCTTCAGTCTCGATTCTACGTATATAGTTTGCGTCGGCGTGACAATTATATCTACCGGCACGTCATATTCTTTGAACAATTGTGGTGGTAGGTAATCTACAATTTGGCAATCATGTACTGTTGTGACAACAATTGTATTTTTTGTTATCGTGCCCATTCTCATCATCATCGCAAACTCAAGATCTGCGAACCCTTCTCCTTTGCCGAGTCTGTACCCGTCTCGACTGACGCATACAGATCCCAGTACAACGAGATCTACCTGTGAATAATAAATAATAAATACAATAGGTGTATAGAATAAATTAATGTCCCATATCGTTAAAGTAAATGCTATGCAAAAGAGTCTAATGCCCGTTTCCACCAATGTAGATTAATTTTAATCTCAGTTTAACTTACTGTTTACCTTTTTCTAATTCTAAAAATCATGTAAATTTTAAGAAGTTAATCTTACATTGATGAAACTGAGTCTTAGAGCTGGAAAAAAATGAAGAGTAAGTTGAACCGAGAGCTAATCTATATTAAAGCTAATCTATATTAGTAGAAATAGGCATAAATAATTGTGTGTATTGTAAGAAAAAATGAAGTAATTTGATATTGTATCTTTAGTGGCATTATTTATTTTTATACATATTATATCTTTTATCCATTAATATTAAATTATTATATATTCTTAAATTTCTTTAAAATATTTACCTTAATACAAGAATCCAGTCCCAGTGATTTACCCGCTTGTTCTAGACCGCGCATGGAAGCCAGTGTTTTTAGCTGTTCCTTCGTTGCGCCAGCAACTGGTGTAACGTGTAAGAACAAGCCAGTTCTCAATCTGGGAATAGGCACAATGATTTCCTTGTTCGCTTCCAGAGCTAAAAACCTCACTGGTTCCTGCGGCTTGTCCGGATTTATCTTTATAACTCTGGCCCTTTTAAATTCATCCAGTTCGATCAATCGCTGTGCAGTCTCCGCGGCGCCTTTGAAGTTCGGAATACGCTTGTATATGTTAACGGGAAAATTCACCAGCTCGTTCTTCATCATGTAGTCCCACACCTTACGACGGAAACTCGATTTCGTTACTTCCTCAGCTGTAAGAAATTGTTAACGTGAAAGTATCAGTTGACGAACAGCAACAATATAGCATATGCTCGCACAAAATATATATCTACGTTTCTTGTATACAAACATACAAATGTTCAATTATTTCTTTTTAACATTTAGAGCTAGAAACATCAAGGAAATGCCTGTTGCTCCGATCGCACGGTAAAATCACTCACGTAAGTTCTCCGTCATCTTGACCGGTTCACCAGTGGAATCTTAGAGGGCGGAGGTTCAGGACCCGGAAGACACAAATCCCAGGAAGCGTCACCGCGACGTCTCTCCCGCAAAAATAGACCGCACGATTTATCTCGTCCACGCACAGCTCTTTCTCCTTCTCTTCGTGTCTATTTCTACCCGGTCCCATGTCCGCAAACTCTGCAGCATCGTAATCCTCTAGGGATTTGATTGTGTGTTGTCGACGTGAGATATCATTCGCGAGGCGAAAATTCCAGGAAAATGCAAAGAATATTGGAATTTCAATGGCATACTCAGCGCCGCTTCTAAGGACGACGTCGATGATCGATGGAGAACCCGGGAGAACCGCAGCAAGAGGCGATAAGACGAATCAGCTGATCCTTTGGCAGCGAACTAGGGAGTTAGAGGCTCCAACTCCCTAGTTTGCTATTCGACCTACTCCGAGAATCAGCTGATTCGTTTTATTGTCCCTTGTCCACGATTATTCACTGATGTCGTCCTCATGATATTCTCGTATTGTCTTAACGATGTTCTCATGTTTTCCTCATATTGTTTTCCTGTTATCTTATAATGTCCTCTTATAACGATCCTCTTAACTTTTGCAAATCTGTTTCACAACAATACCATGTCGCACTTTCTGTATTTAAAAGAAGATGGATAGTTAGGTTAGACGTGATGAAAAAAAGGAGGAAAGATAAAAAATACAAAAAATTGCCGTAAAAAGTAAACTTTAAATTTACCTTCTGTATTTAAAATAAGACTGCATATTTGAGTTGTTGAGGAGTTTGAGCAAATAATCAGAGTGTAGAAAAAGTGCAAATCGCTAGCATGGTCCACGTGACCGTTTAACAGTGACGGATGCTGTCAGAAATTTTGAATTTTCTTTCTACGCCATGTATGGATCTTTGAGTATTGGACGAATTCAGTATGATAATCAGTCTAAATAAGCTAGACAATCAATTGAGCCTTTTTAAAGCCGAAGCAATCGACTCTTTTATAAATTATATATATAATTATACATATAATCGAAGATGCCTTTTACTTTTTTATTTTACTAATACTATAAAATTTTATAAATAATTTTTAATAATACCAGAGCACGTATAGCATAATTGATTTATAATTTCCCTCTACTTTTTATTTCGTGAAAGTTTCTCAATTCTGAAAGGCTCAATTATTTCCGATTAAATTTTTATAGAAGAAAATTAAATTTTCTTCTATACTTTTATATCACATCATGGCCTAATTTTATTTTTATTGAATTTGTAAAAATGTTATAATCAGCATTTTTAAATTATTTTTCCATAGAGCCATATGAAGATTTTCTCGAAGGTTTCTACATAGCGTTCGCTCCTCATTCAAATTAATGTAGAAACCCAGAATGCAATTACATCCCTGCGAGCACGAGCGAGACGAGCAGTGCCGACGGGCAGTCGTGAAAAATGGCTTTGCTCGCGAGAAATATATGTAAGGCGCTCTCTCAGGTAATTATCGACGCATTTCTCCATTGCTGCATGTGTTCAGAATTTCGTGCACCTGTGAATTGCGAAAGAAACACATAAGTTCTATATTCTATATATCATATCGATAATTAAGATAAAAAATTCAACTGTTCCGTCAGCGAGGTGAAGTAAATGATTGCAAGAGCATCGCATATTTAGATGTCTTTGTATCGCGATATTTTTATCCGAGACGTATTCGCGTATTGAAAACGCAAACTTGTTCCTCGGTACACCCGCGCAAACGTATTTCTCAAATCTGCTCAGCTGCGCGAATCATTACACGTCGATTGAGGCAAGCACTTACTTATGAGCTTGCTTATCACATTATTTAATCAAGGTAATTTTAGTTATTCGTCGAGAAAAGCAATAAATTGTTACGCAAGAATTAAAAGCCTATTATTCATGAAGTGCGACGAATAGAATAGGATTACAATATTGATTAAATCCAGTTAACTAAAAGAATTAATCCTGTCTGAAGATTCTAAGCTTGGAGCATTTCGTTCTGGAAAAAAGAATTATATTTTAGAGATAAAAGTGCTACTTTGAATTCTTTGTATAAGTAATTACATTTTTATTTTAATAACATATGTTTAAATTTTGGCACATTGTATTTAAAGTATGTTAGATTTGTAGTATATATTACATTTAGATTATCGTATATGTACAGTAAATAATGAATTTTATTATATTTAATAAAATGTAATTCTTATGTTTTGTGTTTATAGGCTACTCAAAAGAACACAGTTAGAGCCCTGCATGTAGGGACAATACGACAGCAAGAATCGGTAAAATATTATTGTTCTCCAATTGATAATTAGATACATATGTGACATGTGTACTTTTTCCAGTCAGTTGAACAAGAAGGAAAGTTAAAATGTACCTTGATACCAGGAGACGGTGTTGGACCAGAATTAGTGGTCGCAGTTCAAAGTGTTTTCAAAGCTGCGGATGTCCCGGTTGAGTTTGAACCTTACTTCTTGTCTGAAGTAAATCCAACCTTGAGTGCTCCTCTGGATCAAGTCTCCAACAGTATCGCTAGAAATCGAGTTTGTTTAAAGGTTTGATTTTCTAAATATAATAAATCTAAATAATATAATTAAATTAAATAAACAAATGATATGACTTACTCAATGCTTTCATTTCGTGTACATACAAATAGCTAATAAGATAAAGCACATACAAATTAATTATAAAAATTTTTCTATTTGAGAAAGCAAATTTTTTTGAAGAATATGTGACTGTAAGATAACAGTAATTTTGCAACTTGATGTAACTAAATATTGTTTCACGTGACAGGGGATCCTAGCAACTCCGGATCACTCTATGACAGGAGAGTTGCAGACCTTGAACATGAAATTACGTAAGAGCTTGGACTTATATTCAAACGTGGTGCACGTGAAATCTTTGCCAGGAATCAAGTCACGTCATCAAAATGTGGACTGCGTTATTATCAGAGAACAAACAGAGGGAGAGTATTCCGCGTTGGAGCACGAATCTGTCAAAGGGGTGGTCGAGTGCTTAAAGATCGTGACTGCCACTAAAAGCCAAAGAATCGCGAAGTTCGCTTTTGACTATGCCGTAAAGAATAATCGCAAGAAAGTCACGTGTGTTCATAAAGCTAACATAATGAAGCTCGGCGATGGACTTTTCCTCAAATCGTGCCAAGAAATTGCTGAGATGTATCCCAGGTATTCCAGTAACTTTCTTGTCCATATGCACAAAAATCTGTTAATTGTTGCTTAGAAATATTTATTATGAAATTATTGCAAAATGTATTTAATATTACTTATATATGATAATTCACATATTCATATCGTTACTTGCGTTGGCTCATAGCAGGCTTTCTTTTTAACTTTTATTTTATATTCCTATTTTTTAATGAAACAGGATTACGTTTGAGACGATGATCGTCGATAATTGTACCATGCAGATGGTTTCTAATCCACACCAGTTCGACGTCATGGTAATGCCGAATTTGTATGGAAATATTGTGGATAATCTCGCATCCGGTTTGGTCGGTGGTGCCGGAGTCGTCGCAGGTGCCAGTTATAGCGCTGAGTGTGTCGTCTTTGAACCAGTAATATATCTGATTTTATATACATATATATATAGTATATATATATATATATATATATATATATATATACACACATATATTTGCACAAAATAAGAATTATATTCAAAGTGCAATTTGTCTTGTATTCTTCAACAGGGCGCAAGGCACACGTATTCCGAGGCAGTCGGCAAGAACGTCGCGAATCCAACAGCGATGTTGCTATGTGCGGTGAAGCTTCTGAACCACGTGAATTTGAAACGCTATGGTGAACAGATCCGGGAGGCCTTAAACCGCGTGTTGAACGATGGAAAGGTGCTAACAAAGGATCTGGGTGGGCAAAGCTCGACGACGGAGTTCATTGCTGCCGTGATAAGCAGCCTGCGCTAAAACTTGTGTAATATAAGAGAACGTAGACCTTGCATTATAAATTCATTTTTATCTAAAATGATTGTGTAAATCGTAGCATCACCCGTTATAGGGTATATCTAACTCACACCATAACATTTGTAAAGCTATATTATTCTAGAAATCTATAACGATGCAAATTTTCATTTGCAAGAGTAACCTTCTGTATGTTCTACGAACAGAAAGAAATCCAAAGTTTTTTGCAATTGCCAGATTGCAAAAATCTAAATGCGGATGAGCGGACTGCACAATTAGTTCTATAATAGATCAAAATATAGACACAATTGTATCATATTTATATATAGAATAAATTATACGTTATCTTGTACATCCTATTAAAAAATGTCAAGCTCTCCTTATTCCATAATTAGAAATAATTATATAAATACAAAATATATCTTTACATTTCACAGTCATCTTTGATAAAATTGTTAAATGAAAATGTTAAAATTACTTTGGTAAATTACATTAATTAATATCTACCTTAAATTATTGATTTTTCCTAATTATTTTATTTTCACCCCTATGTTCTAATATTTGTGAAATAAAATGGTTCATAATTTAATAAATATATAGAGGAAAGCTTCCTATTATGAGATAGGCACCTAATATGAGATAGCGGCGTTTCCGCTAAAGTAATAAACGCTATCTATTCCACCATGAATTTATTATCCTTGGATTGAAAACTATTAAGAGAAAAATTTATTATTACATCGTGCCTGTCGTTGCAAAAAAAGATTTTAGAATTTGGATGTCTTCAAGTTTCGTTGAGATGAGCCTTTAAACCTTGTTTATTATTTAATAAGTAAATATTTGGCAACAAATTCTTTATGTGATGATAGAGTAAGATCGTACTAATAGAAAAATACAGGATATGTTGAATTGCTTAATTACAAAAGTTAGATTTGATAATCGTAAAATTATAAGGCGTGGAAATCGTAATATGAGGTACCTAGGGTATTTCTAATATAAAATAACCTATGCTTCTATATCATAGTGAAAATCGTTGCTGAAGTATAAATGTTATTGTACAATAATAAAAAGGACAATCGGAATAAACATTAAGTGCCTGTTTCTGCAATGCTTGGTTCCAACTACCTGAAGACGAATCCTAGGTACAATGCATTGCATACTCATTTTGCGCGAGCACTGGCTATGTTTCTATTTTAGAACATTAAATAAAGTTTTTTAATTGCAATACTGATACTTTATTTGCGTTTTATTATCAATTTCTCAGGGCATCTCATATTAGGAGTACAATTTTTTGACTTTGCGATTTGCTCACTTTTTACATTTCTTTGATTTATAAAAAAAATAAAATTTGAATTAAATTATACATAATATTATCTTAAAGCTTATTAAATTCCTTTCAAAATAATCTATTATTTTTTTAAATTCTGTTCATAGATTTTTAGATTTAAAAATAAACTCAATATCTCATAATAGGAGCCTTTCCTCTCTAAATATACATTTATAATACATAAATATATATTACATACATATATCTATATGTAATAATATATATTTATAATATAATATAGAATATGTAAATATATAATAAAAATATGCTATTCTCTCAAGCAAAATAAAATTTCTGAAATAAAAATTCATGGAATTATAAACGATGGCCGATGGCGCATATCGTTCAGTGATATAACACGTGTCCATTGACAGCTCGACATCTGTTTGTATCAGCTGATCGGAGTTTCGCCTACATATCACACGTATGTACACCGTATAAACGAGAAATAACATTGGAGCAAAGTAACTTGCATTATCAATGGATTCCGACAATTACGCGGTGGAATTAATACGTCAAGACATTGTCAAATACCAACTTCAAGTGAATGCTTTAATACAAGTAAATATATATATTATTGTGACACATAGAATATAACCTAAATATCAATGTTGATATAGCAAAGCTATGGTGATAGTAGCGAGAAGTATGTCATTAATTAAATTACAATATGTCTAATTAGCATTCTGCATTTAATAAATTACGTGTTTACTGTGAAGGACATACAGCAATGCAGTGGGCCGCTGGAAGTGCTGGACGAACTCAACGCAGAGGGCAGAGCCAAGATAGCAGTTTTGAAATTCTCCATAGAGCATCTGGCATCCGTCGCCGAAACCGAGATGGATAAAATGAAGAGGGCCGAACTGCTATCTGCCGTGGATAGTTACAAGGAACAGCTGAACACTTCCTTGGCCGCCTTCCGCAAGGCCAATGTTGTCAGTGCATGTGTCATTGATAAACTGGCGAGAGAGAATCTGTTCTCTATGCCGGAGGAACGACAAAACGCTCTCCGTAGACGACATGACAAACAGAGCTTGACGAACGTGTCCAGCCAACTGACAGACAAGTTGCTTAGTATTTCCAGACATCTGGCCGAAACATCTCAAAGAAGCGCTGATACGCTAGATACTTTGTGTAAGTACTTGTCTCGTTACTTGATGGCAAGCTGATGGCATGTTATTCTATGGAATGACATTATATGTACTTTTCATGAATGAAAGAGAGGATAGAGGATGGATTGTTATAAATATTTTAATAACTATATATAAGTTATTAATTAATCTCTCTTAAGATCATTTTCATTTGTCACCAGATATTGTTATATAAGAATAACTGATTGTATATAATAGTATTCTGTAAAAAATGGAATATATGAAATCTCTCGAAACATAAACATTTTTATATTTATTATTAAAATAGATTGCATTGCGCTGAATTGTAACGCCAAAGGAAGAACAGCAAGATAACTATAAATTATATTTTTAGCAAATTTTTTGTATTATTGTTTCAGTAACATCTTCAGACAAGGTCGGCAGTACTAAGGACGAATTGGAGCATCAGCAACAAGCTATAGTACAATCAGGAAAACTGTTAGGGAAATATGGTAGACGAGAAGTCACTGATAAAGCGCTGCTCGCATTGGCATTTGCCTTTTTCCTTGCCTGTGTATTTTACATTCTACAAAAAAGATTCTAAGCGTGTATAAAGTTTTAAGATATATAAGATGTATAGAGCTTAAGATGAGATATTAAATTGTTTATATAATAATGCAAATTCTTATAAGGGGACGGGAGAAGAAGAAATAATGTGATATATATTATATGTACTCTTTAAGAATGAAAGAGGATAAAGGGTAGTATCTTTTATAAATATTTTAATAACTTTATATATAAGTTATTCATTAATCTCTTAACATCATTTTCATTCTGTCACCAGATTTTGTTAAATAAAAATAACTGATTGTATATAATAGTATCCTGTAAGAAAATAGAATTTATGAAATTTTTGGATATATATATATATATTTATATTCCCCGTTATTAAAATGGATCTTATTAAAATAAATTGCATTGCGCTTTGAATTTTAACACTAGAAGATGTAAAATACATATAAATCATTTTTATCACATTTTTTATCGATGTCGATATTAATAAAACGTATAGCTCTTTTGTTCTAGAAAAGTCTAATAAGACATTTCATCATTAAATAGGATTCTTCTAGTGTTAAATATGAACAATATTATTCTTACACATAGTAGAGGATTCCATACATTTTTACAGCTGTTCATAAATTCTTCTCTGGAGACTATACCGTCTCTATTCGCATCCATCTTCTCAAAGAACTTGTCCACTTGCTGGTTAACCATGGACTGGATAGTTTGCGCGTTTTGCACCATCTCATAAATTGCGGATACTATAGTCAGCATCTCCTGTCTTGTGATGCAGCCGTCGCCGTTCAAATCGTAAAATCTGAAAAGCAATAAGTCTGAAGAGATTATTTCGCGTGTGTTGTTTTGACTACGTTCGAGATCAACAATTAGATAGAAAATGCTTTTAAATTGATCAAAAAATCTTTTTTTAAAATTAATTTAATTCTTCTAATCCGAATAAATATTATTACATCTTCCAATCCCCATTGAATAGCTTTATATATTATAATTAAATCTCTCATAAAATATTATTTAATTTAATTTTTTTTCGAATTTATCAGAAAAATAATTATTAATAAAAACATTGAAAATGAGATGAGAGCTCTCACTCAAATATCCAGGAAAGCTTTTGGTCTACGTTGCCATTAATAATCGATGTCATAGCTCTGAGAAGATCGTTGAAATTGACGATGCCATCGCCGTTCCTGTCGATGTTGTTGAACATGATCTGTGCGTATCTGGCCGAATCACCAAGCGGAAATAGTTTGGCATACGCGGGTTTCAGATCGCTGGAAGTTGCGCATCCTCTAGGATACAGTTGCTTGAAAGCGCGATACAGTTTACGAATTTCATCTTTAGAAAATCCGGTGCGCCAAGTCAGAGTGGACAGTTGCTCAGGGAACACGTACAATGAATGTTTATCATCTTCCTGGATGTTCTCTACGAAAATGTAATCGAGTTACAGTGATATTGCAGATTATCGTATATTACATCCTGATTTTTATTCGGATTAATCTTATAAATTTAAAGTTCACTCTGTTTTTAACTATCAAATTCTTTACTTCAATTATATATCTTTTGAATATAAACTGTAATAAGATTAAATTAATTAGTTGCACTTTAAGGAGTTCTTTCTATTTTTACAATGTCAAATGTAAATTACTAAGTATGCGTTATTATCATTAAAAAATTGTAAGTATTTACTTTAACTTTTTGTATCTTCTTTTTCTTTTTATACTTCAAAATTTTTAGCAAATTATAATTGTTATTAATCATTTAATTAAATCAAGTATTTATTTAACAGTTACCATAAAATTATTAAAACAGATAATTATTAATTTTATTACTAAAAATCATATGATTCTATTTAATTACTTAATTGTACGTATTACGTTTTTATTATTTAATTTAATCGAGCGATTTGCCTAATTGGCGATTTCTATAAGCGTTACAAAAACTAGATTAGAAGAAAGTTCTAGTCTACAATGATCAAATCGGATATCGTTACCAGTAATTTTTTGGATGTTTTTTCTTATTTTCTTCAAGCTACGTTGCATCTTTATGGAGAGGCTGGGTCGGCGAAGAGACTCGCAATTATCTTTGCTGCCGTGATTTGACATTTGAAGGGATTCAACACGTGCAATTAGATGAGCTTAACAGTGATCAACGATTTTCAGCGAATGTTGAACGGAACGAAACTGACGCAGTCGACTGCACAGAGCAGTTTTGATGAGGCCTGCAGTAGCCAAAATATTTAGACGATTTACTATGGCATGTCTGTAAATCCCAACAAGAAATGACGTATGAACCGCAGACGGTTTTGGGTGTGTTTCATCCAACAGCTCATCTTTAATGAGCATTTTTTTCTTGAATCATAAATAATAAATATATTAGCTGATCTCTTATAATGTAATTGCGTATGTTTATTAGTCCAAGTGATTTGTTTATTTTATATGCGAGTTTAAATTTGCCAGATCATGATATAAATTATATGTTATCACCGCAATTGGCAAACTTGATAGATTCGAAATAGAGTCTCGGAAAAGAAGAGAAGAAATAAGAAGATAAAAATCATAAAGCTTCTTCGAGAAAGCATCTCTAAAATTTCTTGCCAAACATTCACAGAAGTAAAGCGAGAGAGATGTAAAAGCTTTTGTACAAAGAACAATTTAATCGCATTCTCTAAAAGTATTAAAAACTTCCTCCACCCATAAACTAGTTTGAATCACTGTATGAAGGCGAATTTTTTAAATAACTTTATCGTTGTACACGTTCCCGCGTTTATCACATGCAATATTAAACTTGTATAAAAGTATTTTTAAATATTATCTAAATATAAATATATACATGTATATATGTATATATAAAAGTATGTAACACAATTTTATTTAATTCTATAATTTTTACATAACTCCAAATTAAATTTATAGAAATGAGCTATTAAAAAATTGTTCGTCTCTGTTGCGAACATCTGTGTGTAAATAGACACTTTCTCTGCCAAACGCTATTAATAGTCGGGTAGATTGGAAACTGACTATTACGGTAATAGGAATCGGTAGAGCAAATCAAGTCGTTATTCGATGGCCCATAATTTAAAAATTCATCTTTTCATGAAAGAATCCGTCAAGTGTAAAAACAATTATGTGCAGTTGCGCGAAGTAATCGACCTTGTCGTCTGCAATTTACGATTCATATTCGCGCGATAAATGGGCCTATCAACTGCCAATAATTTCCCTCAAGGCAAACCGAGTTATTTGTTTATATATAACCCAGTTTTTTTTTGTCCAACGTGCAATCCGGTATTACGTGTTAAAGAATTTATTGCAGTGTCTCTTGTAGTCGGTTTCCTGTAAGAAGTTGCATGCAATTTGAACAAAGTTGAGAAAGACTTCGGATAAAACGACGAATAACGAACGGAAAAATGCTGTATCCATTACAGGAGCTAATTTGCACCAATGTGAATTGATGCTAATTGTGCAAGACAAATTATTTTTCCCTAAACCAGATTACAAGCTGGAAGTAAAAAAAACAGCAGATTATGTTATATATGTTATATATGTTACATTACTCAGATCGCATAATATGTTATATATGTTACATTACTCAAATTACATTATTAAAATAATTAAAAAATTAGCAAGTAAAACAAATTAAAATAATAATTATAATTACTAATAACCATTTCTTTCAAATTCATATGAATTTAATTTATAAAACTTTCTTTGTATTTGAATCGTTGCCGTCAAGCAGGCAAATATAATTAATTTAGATAATACACAGAAATATACAGAAATATACAAAAGTAATGTTCACATTCTGTCATTGAGATAAATGTTTTATCTAGAAAAACATTTGAAAAAACATATCGAAGGAGAATTCAAGGGATCAAAGAGCAATTTGCTTCGGTTCATGCAAGCAATTAATAAAGTTTAATAAAGCCGATAAGATAATCCTACTGTCTTCGCAAGCGGCGTCCTTGACATAATATTCGGATGTAGAGCAACTCCCAATAAAGTTTGGCGCCAGCACAGAAGAATCGGACGCGAAGATTGAATATATCGCGCAGCTCGACCTGTGCATAATATAACGTAGGTCACGCGATCGTTTTCGTAATCTCGAAGAAAAACGCATGCTGCGAAATTCACCTGGTGCGGTGCACTTTATGATCGAATGCACGCAATAGCATGCAAGCACGTGCCGGTGGCGCGTTACGTATGCAAAATTATTACTATTTCATGCAGAGCGCCGGATTTCGCGGATACGCCTACGTCAAACATCTGAAAGTGCAAATCCATGAATTAAACATTGAATGCTAATCCGGAGGAACCGTATACGAGATCCAATCTAATCGCAATCGATGCAGTTAGCTGCTTTTACGTCTTCTGAACGATCGTTATTAGAGCGCACACAGGGCTTTTCCTTTTCTTCTTCCTTTACCTGAAAGAGTCACGTGACGAAATATCATTATCATAAGATGTAGCGGCATACCGAACAAATGAGTAATTATGATGATATCAGTATCTCATTCATCTTCCTGTATTCCCTGCAAACGATATTGCGTGCGCGGAATACGCGAGCGAGGGAGCGAACAAGAGTTACGAATGTTGCATATAAATTGTTATAAAGGATGACCAAGACAGTGAAAAAGAATCTTCCCCAAGTTCAAAAGCGCAAATGCGTCATTTTATCATTACGTGCGGAATCCTAAATTGAGGAAATAATCGTGAAGAGGCAGAATTCGTTGGAATATGAAATCTCTTCGGCGGCTCGATTACACTCTCGTCATGAGAAAATAATAAAGGATCTAGACATGGTTGAAAACATCTAGAATCCAAACACAATTCTGTATCATCCAAATTTCGATCGGTCATGAATGTAAATCGAAAATCTGGGAATCTGTAATGCAAAATATTGTAGGACAAATGATATGTCTGGATATATAAATGCAAAATGTTAGATGATTCTAGGATATCAAACAAAAGAATAAAATGATCCCAAAATCTACGTTCGCGGATTAAGATTTAAAAAACCAATGATTGAATCTATTATTTAATAGAATTAAATAATTTTGTTCATCTATTTGATTAATGATTCAATTAGATTCTAATAGAATTACATATCAATTATATGAATCGTAACTATAGGCTCTGTCAGATTTGTATGCATCATTTTATGCTTTTTCTCTTTAA